TTAGATCCTGGCCATGGTAACTTGTCTTTGATTGGGATTTCAATTGAAAAGATTTAGGCCAGTTCCTCATGTGCCTAAGAAGCCGAGGAAATCTCGATCCCATTTTACTACTCAATCTTTATTTAGAGAAAGAGCACTCGGGAGCATAAGCAAGTTCAGTAGTTTCAACCTCTGTAATGGGAACCTCAAAGTTGTCTGAGGCAGGAGCAACCTCATATTAGGCACTACCGCAGCATCCACTGGGAGTTGGAAGGTGCATGATAGCGAAGATTAATCCATCTCACTCAATCTACAAAAAAACATTGCCTTGGGCGCATGCAACCCAAAAAGAAAGAAAGAAAGACAGCTCGCTTGAAGAAAACACTTTTAGTTAGAGCCTAGTACAAGCCAAGCCCCTTCGATTCGGCAACAAGAGTCGGTTATAGATAGAATAGTCTTTTGGTCAGCTTTCCCGTTCTTTCAGACTTTCGGGCCCGTAGGCTTTAAAGCGGACCTGCCTGACAGGGAGGATATGAAAGATCTCGTTGCGCTTGCTTTCACTTAGAAACTATACGACCCCTACTACTCTAATTAATAATTAAGTTACGAGACCCCTACTCTAATTAATAATTAAGTTACGAGGCCCCTACTCTAATTAATAATTAAGTTAAGGCATGCTCTCGAAAAATATACTTTCCATTCTCTTGTGTCCGGCGATTAACCTATTTCAGAGCTGTCTGGTTATTAGCCTATCTATCTCGCACTACTCGAAGTCTTCGTAAACTCATTGTACGTAGTGGAGGTTGCTGTGAGGAGATCCTTGTGCCAGTGAAGGTTGCTTACAGTGACCGGGAAATCCAAAAGAGAAAAACCATTGATTTCTTTCCAACACTCCGGATAGGCAGAAAGAAGGATCTATGTCTATCCCCAACTTCCTTTCAATCCATCCACACACATCGGTAATTGAGGCTTTCTATACTTACTGGGAGGCAGCAAAGGAGGAATAATGGGCATACTGGTTCGATAAGACAAGGAAAAAAATCCACTGTTTTTGACACTCAAGCGACGACCAACCCGCCCTGCCAAACAAACATCGATGCAAAGACCAAGACCCAGTATTACCAATTCCTTGGATTGAAGCTACTATCACTTCCGAAGGAGAAAGAAGCTGGCTTGCTCCTAAACCTTTACAGGAGAGAAGAGAAAAGAAGGAGACCGAATGAAAGAAATAATAGTCAGGTAATAATGGAATCAAAGACTATTTACAGAGTTCCATCTGGGAAGGGAAGTAGTTCAGGCAAGCAATGGAATTGCGAGAATGAGTGAAAGAAGGAAAAGGTGAAGGAGTTAAGGAGAAGGGGCCATGAGCAAATCTTGATTGAATTTTCAGAGTCGAATGAATAAGGAGTATTGATCCTTGTTTACAGTTCAAGAATAGTGAAAGAAGGAGAAGATCAAGAATGTTGAGTCTTGACTGACAGTGAACTCTCATGAATAAGGAGTGTTTACAGTCTCATTCATCTTTCTTGTCGTGCTTGAGTCTTGACTGACAGTGAACTCTGATTCATCTTTCGTCTTTCCTTCCTAATTACCTATATCCCTCAAAATAGGGTAAAGCATCAATTTTTTAATCAATGGTCCTTCAAAGATCTAGAAGAAAGAAATAGGTGTAGGAGGTTGACCTGATGATAGTTTACGAGGTTTCGTAGTGATTGAGAATGCAGCTTTCGTTTCGTCTTAGTAGTTTACAGTGAAAGAATAGGAAAGAACAAGAACTTCAGGGAATATCGGTTCAGGTTCATGAGCGAAGCAGCTCGACCGATAGCGAGAGGAGCTCTCGTGTTAACCACTTCCATTCCTCTCATTAGACCATCTGTAGCACTCATAGCTCTCTAACCCGATGATTTCCTAATAATTGCTATTGCTGTACTTCACAAGTCACATTAATTTCTTGACCGGCAGTAAGTATCCTAACCTTTCACTATCAAAGCGTTGTAACTATTAGGCATCCCGGGGGAAAAGCTACATCTAGTACCGGACCAATGATTTGAGCAATACGTCCCAAGTTGTTTTTTTCAAGCGTGTGGAAACCTCAGGACCAGAAGTAGTAGGATTGATTTTGATAATCAAATCAAATATGTCGAAATTAGTGTGTTGAGAAAATTCTTTCAATCTAAAATCAATGTTGGNGGGGGGGGGGGGGGGGGGGGGGGGGGGGGGGGGGGGGGGGGGGGGGGGGGGGGGGGGGGGGGGGGGGGGGGGGGGGGGGGGGGGGGGGGGATGTCGACATGACACCAAGTTCAATAACAGTATAGAAAGTTACTGACTTCCCTTTGACTAGGGCCTTCTTAAGTTCTTTTCCTGGGGGGGGGGATGTCGACATGACACCAAGTTCAATAACAATATAGAGAGTTACTGACTTCCCTTTGACTAGGGCCTTCTCAAGTTCTTTTCCTGTGCCAAGAGGTTTTGGGGGGGTGAGAAACTAGCTTCTGTACTAAGGCCATCTATTTCTAGTGCTTACGAGCCAATTGCATAGAATGGGAATGGGAATAATAAATAAGGCATTTATTCCTTCCATGCAGTCTGATTTAAGACCTTCTCCCGACCATACATATAGAATACTAGTTTTCTAGATCATATGAATAGGAAGGAGTCTCCTTTACAATTCTAAATCATAAGAAAAAGCATCAACCTTAAACCATTTCCTTCAAACACTAGGTAAACTGAAATTACATTGCCTGGCCGGACTATTACTGATTGAACTCGGTAACATGGAATAGAATGGGTGTTTGTTGAACTCTGTCTCTTCTCTTTTCTTTCCTTTGATGAAGCTTGAAAGACTCTGAAAATGAAAGAAAGATTTGCTCATGAACCTGAACCTTGACTCTATTTATTACCTGAACTTGACAGGTAGAGTAAAGAAAAGAAAAACAGAATCAGGAAGGAAAGAGGAAATCAAGCTTAATTCGAGTTTACAGTGAATAAATAGGGAGAAGGGAGAATCAACATTCCTTATTCCTTTACAGTCGAGTCAATTCCTTTTATGATATTCCCCGAACTTGACAGGTAGAGTAAATGAAAGAAAGCCTCTTTCTTCTTTTTTTATTGGTGTCGGAACTAGTTTTCAGGCCATTTGCTCTCGATGAAAGGCCAGAAGTGGAAGTGATAGATGTAGTTAGTTATCCTTGCTGTCTGTCAATACATTGCTTCTTCTGGCCCTGGGGAGCTTGTACCAGATCTGCCCGAGAGTCCTATTCCTTCTGCCGGTGAGATAGTTCCAATTGTTGTAGTCTCTTTCTTCCCTAGTACATAATTTCTAGGAGGGATAGAGTTTGTATTTGTATTGACTATAGGCATTGACTAAATAAGCTAAGCTATACTGTCAAATAAGGACTCCTCTAAAGCGTATAACGAACCAAAGAAGCCTTGCAATCTAAGAGCTTTCCATGGGGATGGAGTGTTGGAAACCCCTAGGAAGATTCCCATGCAGTCTGACGGGCTGAATACTAGATCGAAAGGCTTCCTTTTATATCAAACTCATTATACCAGCTTTCAAAGGCTATAAGGTAGAAATGGTTAGGGCACCCCTCCATTGCCCTTTCCTGGGAAAGTATTCCCACCTGCTAACTAGGAGGATTCCTCCCCTTTCCTTTCATGGAGACTTTCTTTTTAGGGACCCGGACCATCATTGTTTGAAACAGTTATCTACTTCCTTCTCTGAAGAATCAACATAGCAAAATCATTCCACTGAGGGGGCTTGAGGTAGTCTTATAAAATGAGGGTACCACTTTCTATTTAATAATTTAAATGTGAATAGAGAATGAACCATACATATTCTTGGAAGATTAGACAGAGCCTCGAGCCTGAAAAGAAAGGGGTTACACAAAATTGTTCTCTGATATGCTTTCTAGGAACTCTCAGTCTGAGAACAACCCTTTTTTTCTTTGGTGAGTAAAGGCAAGCGGAACAAGACTTTGTTGAAGCACCATACTAACATACTCTCCCTTGGGTATGCATGCTACCCGCATAGCTAAAGATTAGGTCTGATACGAGAGACAAAAAGCATGTAGAAGTTGCCTGACTCACTTAGGGCGGTGTAATTGCAGGAATCGTCTCAGAACACCCATTATTAGAAGTGGACATCCCTCGTCTCTTCACAAAGGGGGATTGGAAACTAAGCTCTCTAAAGAAAGAGGCCCTGTACAAGAAAGAGTTAGAAACCGAAATGGGCCAACCACATCCTCCACGTAAGACCGAAAGAGTGAAGTCAAGCTATATATATATATATATAAATCTTACCCTCTTTACCTATTGTAATCCGAACATACATGGTTTACATCATCCCCGGTTTTCCAGTTCTAGTAGCCCTCTCTTCATTCGCAACATAACCCCATGGATTTTGAAGCACTCCATCACGAATAAGACCTAATCTTTTTTCTGACTTGCCTTTTCGATCATGATGTGAAAGTGAAACTCGCCCTGTGGTCTTCATTTTCTAAGGAACTCTCTCAATCACAACTCAAGCAGTGAACAGAATTCCAGGCCTCATCATCATCCTTTATATGTGAAGAGATGTTATAGAACTTTTTGAAGCTAGAAGTCATACATTGTTTACCCGAGAATAAGTTCATTCCATTTCCAGAGAAATGTAGCCTTGACCTAAGGCAGAATGATATGAGTGAGTTAAGGAACTTCTTTAAAACTGACTATTGCTATTGGTAACAAATAGTCTTTAGGCCCTGACTCCGCTTATCTCTCTAGATGCTGCATTACCGGTCTTAGGACTTTTTTTTTACAAAAACGGGTAACTGGTAAAAGAAGAAGATGTTCTGTTTTCACAAATCCAACTTACATAGTGGCAAGATCATGACTATTTAAGCCAATGAGATTATTAGCTCAGACACTATTCTATTCATAGTTGTTGATCTATAGGGTAATTAGCCTAAACATGGCATGTCTGACTGATTGACAGAAGTAAGTAGGCAAGTCTGGGACTTTCGAATAAGAACTAATTTGTCAACTACCGGTTGTACGGATTGGATTCGCCAGATGCTCAGATTGTCTCGGTCTTCAATTAGCTACCATCAAAGCCTCCTTAGCTTTTGCAGTGCTTCGCAGCAGTCATATTGAAATATAGGCTTGTGAGATCAATCTCCCACGTTGACTCTTGCTCTAGCACTATAACTAGCACGCTGACTCGAGCTTATTTAGGATTCCCTGACCCTTTATTTAGATTCTTTCATTGGACTTTCAAAAAGAGAAAACCCGGCTTACGATATTACCTGACTTATGAGATTTTCTATCCCATTGGCTGACTCATTACTGGCTTAGAGGTTAGAACGTTAGAGAGGGGATTCCTATACCATCCTTATTCTATCTTTGCTTTATTTACTGCTTACGGATACAAGACTAAGGAAGAGAACCTGGTTTTAGGGTTGGATTACTAACTTAAAGTCTGCTTACAGGATTAGCTTACTATGCTGGGTATACTGGATTAGCTGGTTTGTCAGCGGCTTAAAAGAACCTTCCTTCCTTTCTTTTTCCCGTTGGAATTCATTCCTCACTACTCCTTGCTGGTGAGCTTACTTCTACAGTACAAGGCGAGGACTTATATATTCTATATCTTTTTGAACTCGCACTGATAATAGAACTAGGAGACTAGCTATAGCTCTTGCGCGCTTCCCTGCTTACTTCACTTCCCTCGTGTCAGCGGGATAGAGTAGGGTTGTTTGGTGTCCCAAGTTTGTACCGAGAGCGAGAGAAGAGAACTTGCTCACGCTTTCCAGGCCTTGGAGCGACTCCTGTGATTACCAAAACAAGGAAAAGGAAAAGAAGACAGATGCTTTCTTCGTTCGGCCCTCATTCCCTTCCTATCCGAAAAATCTGGTTCTTCAAGGCAGGAAAGACTGAAAGAGGAGAGTCGTCTTACCCTTTCTCTCGTTCTGATCCCCAAAAAAAGCTAGATCTGAAGCAGCTATAAGTCGATGTGCCAAACTAAACTCTCCTTAATAGAAGGGTCTCACCCCAAGCTCCTTTAGAGCAAGGCTTTTCCGGCTTTACTGACTTAGCGGAATAATCAGCTGACGCAACTCTTGGTCAAGCTGTTTTCATCTACTTATACTTAGCTTCGGTATCGTACCCAAGAGAATCAGAATCAGAAAAAGTACCTGGACCTGGATCCAAGATCACGATATCCGGAATCAGTGTTGGAGGTCGATTCGGATACCCCACCCTTATTATAGAGGAGAGTTTGGCACTTAGTTGCCCTTGGTTAGGAGGTTGACCCTCATAACATAAGGCCTTTCACTCGAAAAAAGAGGTTTTACCTATCCCACTATGTCCTTTGTTTAATACCCATTTCTAGTTCTTTTTCAAAAGGGGCTTTGCTTGCATTCAAGACAGTTGATTCAATAAAGTTCGAAGTTACTAGAATGTATTCTTCGGGGTAGAATTTATGAAAGTCATTCGTACCGCACGAGATCAATCAAATACCGCCGGCGGATCCTGGAAATTCTTATCTAACTGAAACATCTGTCTTTTGCTCCTCTCTATATGTATGTGCTTTAGCCCTGATTGCCTACCTAATTTTTGAATACTGAAAGAGAAAGAGATTCGATTCGTCTTGCTTATGTGCTTGCTTATTGGATTGAGTGCGGGGTAGATGCTTCTGACCGAACCGCTCTTTGCTTCACCCAAGATGCTGTTTTATTCTATGGATTATAGAAGTTAACATTCTGAAGGAAACCACGATTTCGTTAGTGTTTCGGGAAAAGGGAAATGAGGCGTTAAGAAAACGAAAACAAAGCGCCCCTGAACCTCTTCTTTATGGTCTCGTGGCTTCGCCCCTTCACCTCTTCTTTATGGTCTCACAATTCCATTGCCTGAACCTATTCTAATTGAATGGACTCTCCTTCTTTCACTGTAAACTCGGTCTCATCGCCCCTCTCCTCTTCTCCTCGAGCAACTTGACTTATCTACCCGGATCTTACAGAAATCAGTCCCCCCTGCAACTAGATACTTGATGGTGTACAATCCTTTCTTTCCTCTTTCTAGCGCTTGAACCAGAATCCCATTTTCTTTCCAACCCCTACCCTTTCCCTTTCAGTCAAGCCTTTGTTAGCCCTTTCCTCGAGGAGTCGAGCTGCCTATCTTCTCCTCGAGCCGCACTAGCCCGGCGATATCGATCTCGACCATTCATTACTTTATTCAATTCTATTCTAACTTCTAGCTTGGCTTGTCCTTAGCTAAAGAAAGATAGTTGGAGGCCGAAGACCAGAGTCTGGTTTTCACAAGATATGAAAAAGAGAGTCTTTGTCCTGCTATTCCCGGCAATAGCTCTTTCGAGGGAGGGTTAAAAGAGAGAGAGGATCGGTGCCCGCTCTTTCCCAATCCGAACCATGGGAATAGGCCTCTTACGGGTCGGAAGGCTTCCTTCAGTGAGTGCGCCTGTTCAACTGAAACTCTTGAAGATGCCGAATCAGAAGAAGCTAGAGAAAGATCAGTCTCAGCTAAAGCCGAATACGAAGACGCATCGACAGACGCATACGCAAACACCGGGGAATCTGCAGAATATGAAGTCAGTATCCGACTCAGAATCCAAAGATAGAGACGCATCTGCTCCCGAATCACCTAAAGCGGAAGTCTGAATCCGATGACGCCACTTGTTGCCGTTGATGGCCGTTGCAGCAGCACCGGTGCCGGTCACATGCTTCAAAGTGGAAGAAAACGGATTGGTTCGAGTTTCTATGAGTCGACAGGAGAAGCACCGCTCAAAGGCGGCTCATTGAGCCGGTCATTTTGACCTTGTTTTATGAAAGGAGTGGACCTGACTCGAAGGAAAAACCCTCGAACCGAGGCGGTTGATGGGGAGCTTGTAGCTTATGGTGCTTCCTTCCCTGCCTACTATGTATACCTTTGACGATTTTCTTTCTTTGTTGACCCTGTTTTCCGAAGGTAGCTGAAATCCTCCTTTTTTCCAAAAGTCGATGAAAAAGTGGACGGGTATTGTTTTGTTCTTAGCTTGGCGCGCTTGCTTCCCTCTAAAGAAGCCCAACCGTAACGCTTTTCAGTCTTAGGTGAGAATCACTCAATTCTTTCTGTACCGCCCTCTCTCGCAGCAGTATTTCCCTCAGCAGCATATCCAGTTTATTCCGAACATCTATCTCATTTGTCTCCTGAACCAAACCTTTTATCCCGCTCCGCCCGAATCAACATCAAATTTGAGCTAGGTCAGTCATAGGGTTATTTCCAGTCTAGTCTAGAATCAAGCAAGACCAAACAAAGCTGAACCTTAACTACGTACAAGGTACCTGTGAAAGCCCTGACCGTGGTGGACGCATGCACTCGCAACCCAAAAGGAAAGCGAAAGATGCCCCGCCCCTTTCTTTCTTCTTTGAAGCTGAATCAGATTATCTGCTATGCTATATTAAGCTGAATTGTTTAAGATTCCGGATTTGGAACTACAGCCTTAGCCCGGGAGGAGACTGAAGACTTTGGATTTGAACAAGAAACTACGTCCCCGCTTTAGGAAGGGCCTTAGCCTTAGCTTCAAGATCTCAGTTTGCACCAACCAGGATTTCCGTTCTCACCAGGAGCCGATTGCTGGAGAAAGCGATGGAACAAGATAGTCGTTTCTTTTTCTCTCTCTCCCGATCAGGTTTCGGTTAAGTAATCTGTCTATCCATCTGGTTAGGTTTCGACCAAAGTATGGTTGGGGTTCTGCAGTTGAGGATGAGGATTTTGGGGAAAAAGATTAATAGAATTCAGGCAAAACTCTAACAGGATAGGGAGGAGGAGTATACCATTGAGGATTAGGGTTGGTTATTTACATCTGAAAGGTGAAATTGCTGTAAATACTGGTTGTTAACTACATGATCGACTGTCTTTCCCTTATACTATTATGAGTTCGAGCTTGAGGAAAAAGGGATAGGATGAAGATTTGCTTTTTTCTATCACCTTCGGTGCCTCTCTACTCTAACAACTATTCATCTACTAAGATCTCGCCCAAATAGAGAAGTGAATCTAAAGGCCAAAAAGTGATCTTTGAACGCTACTACACATCCTTAAAAAGAGTCTTGTGTAAGGTAGGTTTCGGTATAGCAGGACTTGAACCTGCGACCATTAGGTTAAAAGCCCAATGCTCTACCAACTGAGCTATACACCCCAAAAAAGAAAAATAGGTGGGAGGATTGATGCAGAAAAGAAAAGAGGGCGGCCCCTCTTCTTCTCATCATATTCAAGGGGCGCGGCTCTGTATGAGGCTCGTACTGCAGAGCAAGCGAAGAAAACGTAAGGGTGCGTGTTAGCACTCCCACAAGAAAACGGCCTCGCTAACCCCTTATTGATTTCAAACTCAAGGAAAGCCTTTCTCCCTCCATTTGAGAAAGATGCGCTCAAGCACCCAACCTATACAAACAAGGGGCTTGGGCTCGAAAGCCAGCCTTACTCAACAAGCACCTTTATTAGTCAGGTTGCTTCTTTCTACTCATTGAAGATTTTATCCACAAAAGAAGGTCAACGGGGGATACTAAAGTGGCTCTCACTGACACCATCTACGATAAGGTGAGGTCGTCTTTCTTTCCAGTCGCCATCCGGTTCTTAAAGCCTTAAATAAGGGAAGGGGAGGAGCTATATGTAATTAGGGTCTTTGTTGGCCGTTGTTCCGGTCGAGCACTCTCTTTTCTTTGTCAAATTCCGTCTTACCAAAGAAGACTTCTGCCCAACCCGCGAAGGCTTGTGAAGTTGGACTAGGTACGAAGAATGAATCTATCTCTGTGTACGGAAGTTGCTGGTCGCTCAACTGCTCGAGCGTTTTCCTTTCTCCTATTATTAGAGTGGGGTGGTTGGTTCCGATTCGAGAAGGGTAGAATACCTGGTCGAAGGTCCAGTACAGTAGGTAGCCGGCGT